ATATCAAAGTTCTTCCCGGCGCAGGCCCCTTCTGGCAGACATTGCAATAGACCTCTCCAAGAAGACAAGGTTGAGAAGACAAGAGAAGCCAGCTGAAGTTAAGAGGAGGTGGGAAGAGTACTACAGCGCACTCTGAACGAGGAGTTCCCCCACAAAGACAACTCGCAAGCAGAGGCGACGGCTGGCCCCATCTCACTGTGGACAGAGGATGAGGTTCGTCGAGAAGTAGGGAAGATGAAGGTTGGAAAGGCGGTGGTCCAGATGGGGTGCCAATCGAGGCATGGAAGGCGCTCGGAGAGTACGGGATAAGATGGCTCACCCGATTCCTGAACACGGTAACTGCGGAAGGAAGGATGCCGGATGCCTGGAGAACAAGCACTATCGTCCCCATCTTCAAGCAGAAGGGTGACGCGATGGACTGCTCCAACTACCGCGGATCAAGTTGACTGCGCATACCATGAAGCTGTACGAGCGACTGGTCGACTCGAACTGCGGGAGCTGGTCCCGATCTCCCAGGAACAGTTCGGGTTCATGCCGAAAGGTCTACAACGGATGCCATCTTCATCGCAGGCAAGTGATGGAGAAGTATCGAGAAAAGCGCCGACCCTGCTACCTAGCCTTCCTCGACCTGGAGAAGGCGTTCGACCGGCTACCGCGAGCAGTGCTATGGAGGTCGCTCAGGGAACGAAACGTGCCAGAACACCTGATCTCTCTGGTGAAGGACATGTACGAAGGAGCCAAGGCAGCCATACGCACCCCTCACGGCCTAACGAAGGAGGTGGACATCACGGTTGGGGTGCACCAAGGGTCAGCTCTGAGCCCCTTCCTCTTCCTCCTAACACTAGATGCCATGGTGAAGGGCTCATGGAAGGACCACTGAAGACCATCCTCTACGCTGACGACATCGCCCTGATAGCGGATAGCAGAGAGGAACTTCAGGCCAAGGTGCAGAAATGGCAGAAAGTCCTGGCAGAAGGTGGGCTCCGGCTGAATGTCAAGAAGACCAAGTTCCTGAGCTCCTGAAGCCGATCGTAGACGGCCATGGTGAGACCATCGAAAGAGTGGAGGACTTCCGCTACCTTGGGAGCGATCTGGCAGCCGACGGCAGTGTGGATCAGGCAGTGAAAGGCTCGGTCAACGCGGCATGGATGAAATGGAGGGAGTCCACTGGAATCCTCTGCGATCGAAGGTGCTCCAGAACGCTCAAAGGGAAGGTGTACCGGACAGTGGTAAGGCCTGCGATGCTATACGGCAGCGAGTGCTGGCCCCTGACGAAAGGCAGCTTCACTCCGCTGAAATGAGGATGCTGAGATGGGCCTGCGGCTGGACGCGACTGGACAGGGTCAGAAACGAGGATGTCAGAGCGGTCATGCAGACTGCCCCTGTCCAGCTGAAGGTACGGGAACAGCGTCTGCGATGGTATGGGCACGTGCTAAGGAGGCCACAGGACCACCCGATAAGGAAAGCGATGGACTTCGAAGTGCAAGGCAAGCGACCGCGAGGAGCCCCAAAGAAGAGGTGGAGAAATCAAGAGGGACCTCTGACATCCTCGTTCCTGACCCTGTCCAGTCGCGTCCAGCCGCAGGCCCATCTCAGCATCCTCATCTCAGCGGAGTGAAGCTGCCTTTCGTGGTTCTTGTTCAGGGGCCAGCACTCGCTGCCGTATAGCATCGCAGGCCTTACCACTGTCCGGTACACTTTGAGCGTTCTGGAGCACCTTCGATCGCAGAGGATTCCAGTGGACTCCCTCCATTTCATCCATGCCGCGTTGATCCGTGCCTTTACTGCCTGATCCACACTGCCGTCGGCTGCCAGATCGCTCCCAAGGTATCGGAAGTCCTTCACTGCTTTAGCTCCTTCGTACATGTCCTTCACCAGCGAGATCAGGTGTTCTGGCACGTTTCGTTCCCTAAGCACTGCTCGCGGTAGCCGGTCGAACGCCTTCTCCAGGTCGAGGAAGGCTAGGTAGCAGGGTCGGCGCTTTTCTCGATACTTTTCCATCACTTGCCTGCGATGAAGATGGCATCCGTTGTAGACCTTTCGGGCATGAACCCGAACTGTTCCTGGGAGATCGGGACCAGCTCCCGCAGCTTCGAGTCGACCAGCCGCTCGTACAACTTCATGGTATGCGCAGTCAACTTGATCCCGCGGTAGTTGGAGCAGTCCATCGCGTCGCCCTTCTGTTTGAAGATGGGGACGATGGTACTTGTCCTCCATGCATCCGGCATCTTTCCTTCCACTGTTACCTTGTTCAGGAAGCTGGTGAGCCACCTTATGCCCGTACTCTCCGAGCGCCTTCCATGCCTCGATTGGCACCCCATCTGGACCAACCGCCTTTCCAACCTTCATCCTCCCAGATGTACACTCTTTCCACCACATCTAAACTTCGGTTGGCTTCCTTAGGATGACACCATTGCTGCCTTTCTACACTTCTTCACCACCCTGATGTCTTGGGTAGCCGATGCCGGGCTTTAGCCAGCCTGAAGACGAACTTCTCTGCGTTTCTGCTTTCCAACTTCTCGTACAAGGCGTCCATTTCCGTGTTCTTCGCCTTGCGACAGCAGCCTTAGCGAGCCTCTTGCAACTCTTGTAGGCAGCCAGAACCATGCTGCCTTGTCTCCCCTTTTTCCACCTCGCGTTTTCCTTAGTACTTCTATGGCACATCGCAGGATGGTCTCGGCCGCGTTGCCCTATGTCCGCTTTATTGACCCGTTAGGATCTGGGAGATCTTCTTCTTGTCCCTAGCGTTAGTGCCGCGCAGTCGCAGGGTCCGCTGTTTCTGTCAGCCGTCGCAATGTTGTTTTAAGCGCACGTTACTGTCAAAGGCGGGCCCAACGGCGGGGCCTCCAGGCAGGGTCAACCGTCCGTTCGAACTGTTCGAACGAAGGGGTCGCATTTTGGTCGGAAGGGGGTCGCAATTTCGAGGACTGCCAGCCACAGGCGCGTGCGTGGCGTATCCGAGGGCAAGACTTGCTTGTGCAGACCGCATTAGATTCGATTTATTATGCACAGAGAGACAGTTTTAGGCAAATTACGGTGTTTTCTTAGGAATAAAGAACAGTTGAATGCATCCTATGAAAGGTTTGACTTCTCGGGGCTGAAAATAAAGTTCATAGAAGACCTAATTTTTAGGGCGCCTCTTCT